ATGGAAGTGGGATTGCAATCTTTTTCTCCTTTGGAGCTGCAATGAAAAGCAATTTTTTAGAGAATAGTGAATGTCAAAGTTGCACGAGATCATGCCCAGAACTGTGTTTGGAGATGCAAGAGAGAGTCACCCACATATTGGGAGTTGTAAAGAGCAGGGGAAAGTAATTCAGGAAGGGATTCAAGGGATCAGCCAAAGCTTCTCCGGCAGCTACTTCCTCAGTCAAATCATTAATTTTTCTAAATCCTTTGCAAAAATCTGGTGATTTGGGGACAAAATTTTCCAGTGTTTCAGTCCTGCTTTAGAAGGCCAAATCCAATTACTGGATAATGGGACTTTGGCCTCCCAGGAGCAGAGACACTTTGAAAGATGTGGGTTTATATGGGGGTTTCATCTCATTCCATTATTGGATTAAAACCTACCCCACCCTTAATCCTGCACCAGGAACTGTGTAAGCAGGAGCTACCCCAGTCTGGAAACCAACTGGAGCATAAAACCCCTGGCACTGCTCAGAGACACCCCACAAACTGCCCCACAGGAGGATCAATATTTTGGAGATATTGATAGTATACCAATAACTTGGGTTAGTATATCAAACAATAGTATATCAAAGAACTTGGGTTCTTTTTGAAACCCAAGTTATACTTGTGGGAACTTAAGAATGTTCTTCACGTGTTTTTCATACTCTGGGGACAGTTACAAACCAAACCAAAAAATTTGTTTTGAAGAAAGAAACCAAACAGACAAGAAAGGGAAACAGAGAGAAGCTGCAGGTTGGGAGCTTGATGCTCTGGACTGCAACTCCCTGCCACTGCCCCCCCATCACCCCATTTTTAATTACAAGCAGCCAAACTGTAAAGACCTTAATGGATGTCTTAATTATTGCATTAAAGTTTGAAATGGAAAATTCCTCATTACTTGCTGTGCAGTAGGTCAGGGCTGCAATAAATGGTGATATTTTGCTTGTTACAGGACTGGGTGCCCTTTGAGAGCTGCTGTCTTTGGGGCATGTCCTGGCCCTGGGGAGCTGCCAGGTGGATGTTAGATCAGGTCTCTGCTGTGAGAGCATCTGCCTGTGTTTTCCAGGCAAAACTACCAGCAAGGAGTGCTCTTTGCTATCCCTTTCCTCCTCCAAATAGTGCTACTTTCCTCCTGTGTTTGGCTTTCCATCTGCTTGAATGTGTTTATTGATTTAGTGTTATGCAAACTGCAATAAAACAGCATCCTTCTAATGGTCTCCAGCCAGCTATGGAATATATCCCAAATAACTTAAATACAAACCAACCCCCAGCAGCAATACAAGGTACTTGCCACTGATCAGCCTTTAAGGCCCTTTTGCACTGTGCCTGTCCCTGCTTGCTCAGGGCAGGCTGGAAAGCTGAGATCCAGCCTGGGACACTCACAATTTAAGGAATGTGGCAGAAAAAGAGACTAAAAAAAGGAAAGGGAAAAAAGAGAGAAAATATATTAAATATATATATATATATATATATATATATATAAATAAATGAATAAAAAATAAAAGACAAAAAATACCAAACCCTTCTTTTCTCTCAGGCTCTGCACAGTTGGAGAAGAACAGGGCAGGCTTTAAGGTGGGTCTGTGGCTTCTTGGAGCTGAAAAGCTTTAAATCACCTAAATGACCTAAAAGGTGAAAAAACCTCAAATGTGCATGTCAGAGGTTGTTGATACCTCTGTAAGGGGAGCAAAAAGACAGGGAAAGTTGAACTTGCACTCTGTAAATTATTCTCAGCATCATTTTCATGCCACCAAGCTTCATGTTGGCTTTTGTTCTGAACATTGATGAGAAAGTTTAGAGGAGTCCACAGTACTTAGAGATATTATCTCGATTACATGATCCTACGGATGAGGTGTTAAAATTCATTTCATGGCTATTTCTCCTTTTGAAACGTGTCCAAAACTTCTCCTCCCTTTAGTAACTGTGCAATTGCCCTGTGAGGGTGAAAGTGAACCCTGGGACAGCAAATCCTGGAGTTCCCAAAGGCAGCTCCAGCCACGAGAGCCACCAGCCAGGGCTGCTCGTGGGCAGGGCCAGGCTCTGCCAGCTGTGCCAGCCCAGCCGCGCTACCCGTGCCAGCTGTGCCAGCTGTGCCAGGGCTGGGCTCCGCACTCTCCCAGCCAGGAGCTGCCGCATCCCAGATCTCACAGCTCCCTCTGTTGGCATCTGCTCGAACCTATCGGCAAGGATGTACAGAAAGGTGGAAATGGATTTTTTTGAGCAGGATCACCATGTGGGAGGTGATCTGTGTGCGGGGTGTGCCCCTCCTCACCCAAGAATCACTTCATTTGTGTCATTACTCTTAACAAGTGATACTGGACCATGCCTGCTGATGCTTTACAGTCTACACCTTTGCTGAAGGCAGCTTTTCACTCATTTTTCCCAAATCAGTGAGAAGATGAAGCTGGATGAACTCTGAGTCTGATGTACACGTGAGGATGCTGTGAAAATCTGCCAGCCCAGCTCCTCTCGCTGCACAGCCTCCCCCAGGAGTTTATCATATCAAATATACTCCTCTGGCCCTCACTGATCACACAAATTAACATCTCTGCACTCAAAGCAAAACCACAGTTTGCAAATGATTCACTGCCTTTATTCTTTTTAGGTCCTTCCATAGCAAAAACTTGCAGACCACAAGCTTTGGCTTAAACAAATAACAGTACAGATAAAACAGTTTCAATACTTCACCAAAGAGGTGTGATGAGAGTGAAACATAAGCCTCAAGTGTAGGTCAAATATTTAACTTATCAGCCAGTTCCAGAGACAGATAACTTGGACAGCTCACTGGAATGGTAGCTGGATTCACAGAGAAGGCACAGCCAAGCACTTTCCTTTGAAGATCAGTTCCAAATTTCCCAGCTGGCAGATCCAAGGGGTGGCCAAGCAGCCTAATTCAAATGTAAGTGATTTAAACCCATCAACTCCTCCACAAGAAATGCTGCAACCAGCAAAGAGAACCAGAACTGACTCCCTGTGCTCCTGACCTGGATGACCAGGGAAGATGCTCTAAAACCCCACAAAACCCATGGGGATCTTTTTTCTGTCACTAAAGCAAAGGCCATGCAAGCAATCTGCTCAGACTGGACAAAGGACAAGCTGACAGGGATGGACAGGCTGCACAGCCTCAGGCCTCTTTGGCAAGCCTGGCTGTGTTTGTATTTGTTGTTTGTTACTGGCTGTTCTTCCCAATTTACTGATTTAAGATTCCCAGCAGCCTTCCTGGCCCTGCAGCACCCCAATACAGAGTGGTACCTAAGGTGGCAAACAGTCTTTTAGAGAAAAAGAGCACAGAAGGAGAAAAATAAAATACTTTCTTATCTCTCTGTCCCATCAGGCCACATAGATTATTTATTTTCTTGGGAAGACATCAGGCAGTGCCATCCTTATCTCTAACTCTGCCCAGTAAGTGGCTCAGCTCAGATTAGTGATGCCCATTAGTGTCTCTGCAGTTAAAAGGCTGGCAGTATTTTCACTACAAACCAGGCCATTCAGAAACTTTACACAGCTCCAAAATGTCTTCCAAGAAGAAATTTGGCCAAAAAAATGGTGAGGAAGAGAATAATAGGATTTTTTTTTCACCTGAATCCATAGCTTTCCTGCTATAGATCCTTGGGAAACCTGCTCCTAGCCTGAGATTTCTGGTAAGCACTACAGAAACCCAAGAGATCCTTTCAGGCTGCAATCAGGGGACTGGAGGAGAAGCAATGAATTGCTTTAATGTGAAATTCACCTTTAAAATTGATCCTACAGAACCAAACACTGGAGCCTGGCAGATCCTCCTCTTTGAGAAACAGTGCTGGATTTGGTGGGAGTACCACTCAAAACAAGCATGCAGAATCAGGCCTCAAGTACATAAAATATAGGATTTGGTGCTTAAATCTTAAAATATTTATAAATAACTTTAAGACATTCAAGCTCAGAGGTGTCTACAGCCAAGTATTTCCCTCTGACACAGGGAACCACAGGGATCCACATCCCTGTGGATGCCCAATGCAGAAATTTGATTTATGCTTAACATAGAAACAAAACCTGCCTATGCCAAGCTCTTTGGAAAGTCTCCCTCAGTGCTTTGAGAGCACGTGCAGGACACATCTAATCATGCAGAAAGCATCTGGGACTTGTAGATCCACGGCACAGAGCGTGACCAGTTCTTCCCATACATTCACAGCACTTCCCAAAGCAGCTCCAGAGGGGATTCCTCAGCTGTTGCTGCACTGCTGGGCCAGCCCAGCTAAGCCTGACCCCAGGGCCCAGCTCAGCTCTGCTCTCATGGTGGAGCTGGTCCACCTGGGCTCAGGGCTGGGGTGAGGCCCCCAGGGAGAGAAGGGACACCCTGGGCCCTTGGGCAAGGCCAGGCTTGGCTTGGAGGCCTCTCCCAGCTCTGTGACAGCAGGACTGGCACAGCCCCGTGGCCCAGGGCACACACCCAGCCACACAGCCCTGAAGGGAAGCCTGGAATTCACCTCACAGCCCTGGAGACCGGGCTGTACCTGCTGCAGAACAAAGGCACACGAGGGGTTAAGGGCACAGGCTCTCGTTGGGGCGTTCCTGGTGTCACACCCCACAGGACACCTGGTGGCACAGCACAGCAGAGCATGGCAGCCCCACTCCCACAGGGAGGAGCAGCTCCCCTCAGGAGCAGCCTTGGGGGACAGGCCAGGTCAGCTGCTTTGGCCACAAGGATATTTGTCCACGAGACACAAGCTGGAACAAACTGGTCTCACAGACCATATTCTCACTGGAGATGTTGAGCTGGGTGGCTCTGCAAGCCACCAGCTACAGCCCTGAGCAAAAGAATGAACTCTAAATTTCTTTTCTCCCGTGGGTTTCATCCAGACCCATTATGTACTTGGTTTCAGCATATTTTTTCCCGTTAAAACACCTTAAAAAAAAAAAAAAGTAAAACGTTCTTTGGCACTTGTGCAAGAATGATCCATAGATGTGACACTCTTCTGTCCTTCAGCTGCTTCTTGAGCTCATCTCTAAAGATCCACATACTCAGAGTCTGTGTCCACCCTCTGGGCCTCTCCAAACAGGAGGAATGTGCAGAGCCCAATGCTGTTCACAGCTGCCACCAGGTTGAAAACAGAAATCCAGGAGCCAGTGGTCTCAATCAGGTATCCAGCCAGGTACACACAAATGACACCTGCAGAGGAGAAAATGCAAAGGCTCTGGGCTGGATCCTGCCCTCTGCAGGGAGAGGAAAGGAGGAGCTGCAGGAATGTACTTTACCTAGGAGGGCTCCTCCTGTATTTGCAACCCCTGGAAAGAAAAGGTGTGAAAAGAAATTGTGAAAACCCACAGACATGAGTGGTTTCATTACTGCCACCAACCCCTGGTCTGCATGTTGGGCAAAATGCCTTTGTGACTGTGGAATCACTGACTGGTTTGAGCAGGGATGGACCCTAAAGCTCAGCTCATTCCATCCTCCTGCCATGGGCAGGGACCCCTTCCCCAAGCCCTGCTCCAAGCCCTGTCCAGCCTGGCCTTGGACACCTCCAGGGATCCAGGGGCAGCCACAGCTGCTCTGGGCACTGACACAGCCCCAGCCCAGCCCTGGGTGCAGCAGAGCCCCTCAGAGAGGCACAAAGACACCTTGGTGGTGCCACGTGCCCCAGCACTGCAGGTTTGTCACAGAAGGAAGCTGAGACTGCACACACAGGGCAGGCACTGCCCAGAGCTGCTCCTGCTCAAACCCTGGTGCTGCTGACCACGTCCCCACCTCTCCAGCACAGCAACCCCACAGAATCCTTACCAAAGAGCAAGCCAGCACACGAGGGGGCCAGGTCCTGCACATTTACTGAAATGCCACTGGTGAGAGACAGAGGGGGAGATCAGTGGATGCCTGAATGGAACATGACTGCTTTTCCATCACTAACACATTTGATTTTTCAAACACAAGGAAAGCTCCTGGATAAGAAATGGCACTGGCAGGAGAAGCTGAGAGTAAAGCAGGTGGGTATCAGAAGGAAAACAATTCAACTCAAAGTGTTCAGTGTTTAATTCCCCTCCTGCTCCATCTCCCTCCTACTGGCTGGTCCAAGCCCTTCCATGCTAGAGGTTTGCTGGATTATTTCCAAACTCCACCAGCCTCACAGGGTCCCAAAAACAATGCTCAGGCAAGTGCCAGGTCTCCTCCAAGACCCCAAAATGCCAAACGTGCAGGGGAGCTGAGGGTCCCCATGGCTCTCCTCACCTGTGGTTGAAGGTCTGCAGTCCAACAGAGGCTGAGGCAAACACTATTGCTTTGCAGAAACTGGAGGTCTGGCCCAGGCACAAAGCAAAAATGCTTGAGACACCAGAGCCAATGACCTGGAAAAAAGGGAAAATTAAACACCACAGCACGTTTTCTGCAAGAAGAAAGCAACTCCTGCCACGAACAAACTGTTCCCTTTTCCAATGCCATGAGTTTGTGTGCACCTTGTGCTCCTTTTTTCCCCCCAATGTCCTTCTGTGCCAGAGGTGTGTCCAGAGGGATGTGATGCTGCAGATCAGAGGATACACTGTGTTCTCACCCAGCATTTCTATTTCTGCTCACCCTTGTATTGCTACTTCCTCAGTACCTAAGGGGTTATTTGGGATGACCAGGGACAGGTTGTGCAAGAAAACCCCTCCAGAGCACTCCCTGTGCTCAATGCTGCCATTAATCCAGGCTCTGTTCCTCAGCCAGGGTTTTCCTCTGGATTTCCTTTCACACATCCTGACCACCAGGTAATGTGCAAAGGCAGAAAATCCTGTTTCCATCCACAACCCCTAACCCAGCTCCATGCAAGGTCTAGTCTGCCACATAACCAGAGTTTAAGTGGTAACTCAGGTACCTCTGCCACAGCTCCAGCTCTCTTACCTGCATGAACTTGCGGATGGTGATGGTTCTGTACCCTGGAGAAGAAAGAGACACTTGGAGTTAAGCACAGCTCACCTTGTTGTCCAGCCAGGAAACTACAACATAAGAAGATTTCAGATGCCCAGATGTCATCTCCACGGGGCTATTGTGAATGAGGTCAAAGAGAGCCCCAAACACACCAATGGGATTTGGACACTAGACAATTTATTCTGCTTTATATCAGAACCTCACAGTGTTTATTTGCTGGGTCTCCTCCCGACCAACAAGCCCTCCTCCTCCCACATCCCATAAGAGCTGAGGAAAAGCCATAGAGAGCTCTCACCTTGACTAATTAAATGATCAGACAGAAATCCACTGAACAAGCTCGTCGGAATTGCAACCAGCCAGGGGACTACATTAAACACCCAGCCCTGAAAAGGAGGGAAAACCAAGAGAGATTTGTTGTCAGAGCTGAGTTTTTTTGCAAATATTTTGACAGTCAGTGGTACCTGTAGAAAAAAGAAATAATGAAGCACTCAGGACTTGTTTCAGCACCTGCACCCCCTTGGCAGAGCCAGCTCTCAGCTGCCCTGTGCCCCACTCCAAGCTCTGTGAGGGAGCAGATGCATCACAGCCTGCAGCATTTGCAGATTTTTGTCTTTCCTTCTTCCCCAGCAATGCTGCATCCAGAGGAGAGGCAGAAAAGTCTGGGAAAGAGGGATTAGACATGGCAAAGTTCACTGCTCAGCAAGATGACGTGGTGGGCAGCCACAGAACCCTGGGAAGCTCAGTGTGGGTTTCCTGTGGGTCCTCAGCAGAGCTGCTGGCAAAATTTCCAGCAGCTTCCAGCTCATTAGCAGCATTACTGTGTGAGGCTGAGGGAGCAGAGCTGGATTTTCTAATGGCAGGATTAGGTAACATTATGAGTACCAACATCCTTCGGCCCATTTTCAATTAAGTGAGCTGCAGCTGTAATCACAGACCATTAGTGGGCAGCTGGATTACAGCTGCTCAGGGGCACTTTGGTGCCCAGATCCCACAGGAGCTGAAATCAGCGTGGGCTAGGCTGGATTTCATCTCAGCTGGTTGAACCCACTCATCCATCCATGCACCCACTGCCCCCAGCATCTCCCCCTTTGCTCAGAGCCCATCACCCTGTGGGGGCATCTCCCCTTCCTGTCTGGCTTTGGGATGTGTGGGAGGCCTGAATGATCTCGGGCTCGAATAATCCTGTTAAAGATGCTCCTGGAAATCACACCAGGGCCCATCTGCATCTTTCCATGCCTTTGAAATCTGGGTCTGGGTCATTTTAGACAATGTTAGCCCATGGGCTCTGTGGGGTGGTGCTGTCTGTTGGCAGCAGCTCAGCACGTCAACCCCAGCCTTGTCCCATCCCACAGCCCATCACCCTGAGCCAAACCCTCCATCACCTTCACTCAGGTGAAGCAAATGGGCAAACCCATTCCTGCCCAGCTCACCTGCAGCAAGGGATTTTGGCCAGCAGGTGACACAGGTTACCCACAGTAGGGATCCTGAGCCATCCTTTAAAATCAAGCAGCCTCAGCCCGTTTTAAACTGCACAAAACGATTATCAGCTGCAGGAGCACTCTATAGAGCATCTTACATAAGGGCACCACGATATAATGCTTAACAGATGGTAAATTACTGCTGCACAAGCACATTACTCGAGGTGCACAGATCTTGTCACAACAATATGTTTGCTGGTTTAACACATGATTTTAATATAAATATCAAGTATGCCATAAAGAGCTTTACATATGTAATATGAAAAGGCATTTGTAAGCAGCTCTGGAAATTGTAAAAAGCTAACAGAGCCATTGTGGAGGAGACTGAGTTTCTGAGAACAAGATGAAAATGCCAGCTCTCAGCCCAGATCAGTACTGCCTGGCTTTTTGAAAAATGGGATTATCATTTATGCTGAGGAGAGGGAAGCTTTTGTAGTATTTTTGAAGTGGACATTATTGTTATTAATGGTAATTGTAATTTTCACGGGCAGGCCTGAGCTGTACAACGTTAGTCCAGTTAAAAACCCTGTAAAAACATTAGGAGTGAATGGTGCTTATTTGCAACAGCATAATGTCATGAGCTTTGTGCTAGTTGAAAAATTATCTTTTTCTCAGAAGAAAAACAGTCTAAAACCCAATAAAACCTGCTCTTCCCTACACCCTTCATCATCCCTAAACAAGCAGCTAGAAACCAGCCTCTGCAATCTGGAGAGATCTCCAAAGCATGAGCAGAGGTGCCACAGCTCCAAACCCCACAGGGAAACCTCCCACCTCCTCCTGCCTCCCAGTGTGCTCTCACCAAATCCCTCTGCCATCATCTTCCTCACCTCCACCCCCTTTTGGCAGGCACCCAGCACAGCCCCCTTTGAACAGCAATGCCTCTGCTTTGGAGCCAACCCACCTTGGAGTCTGGAAAAGTTTCCTTGAAGAAAGTCGGCAGCCAGGAGAGCAGGGTGAAGAAGGTGCTGGCCGTGGAGAGCTGGGCGATGATGACAGCCCTGCAAATACACAGCTGAGAGGAAACAATCAGCAGGGACAGGTCACGCTGCCTGGGAAAGGAGGGGCACTCCAGGGCTCAGCTCCCAGCACAAACCCCGGGGATTTTTGTCATGGAGAGCTGCTCCTTTCGCCTTCCCGAGATTGTTGTCAGAGATTTTCAGCTCCAGCTGATTTTCAGCTTCAGATTGCCACTGCTTTCAGCTTTCTCCTTGCAGCTGGTTCCTCGCTGCCCCACCGCACAGCCCCGAGGCCAGGAGAGGTTAATTGAGGCGCTAATTATGCCACTGCATTTCCCTTCCAGCCCGGCAAGAGCCCTCCTGCTCTGAGAGGTGTTTAGGGTTTTCTAGGGATTTGTTATCAGCTCCATTGTTATTCAAGGCAGGAATGGGTTTGCTGCCCTGCAGCCCCATCATCCTCCTCCTCCTCCTCGCCTTAAAACAGCCCTTGGGAACAGCTTGGATGGGCTTCAGTACCCACTGCAGCATCCCGAAGGGAAAATGGCCATTAAAAAGATGTTTGGCAGCAATGAGAACTCAGCCCGTGCCACCCAGGGCCCCTGAGCAGCACTTGTTAGGAGCCCATTACAATCAGCATTTCCAACAAGACCCGTGGAAAATGTCACTCTGGAGGAGCACAGGACTCATCCAGGGGGAACAGCCTGGGAAGGAGAAAGATTTGCCAGCAACATTCGAGGCTGACAGCCCTATGGACAGAACATAAACCACCTTTGCCAAGCTTACCTTTGCAGCTCTTTATTTATACTGAAGGAATTAGAAAACTGGTTCTGCTTCTCAAATATATAAGTAAGTGGACAAAAACCACAGAGGCAGGAGAAATAAGCCCAGAGAGGAGAAAAGAGAGGATGCTGCCAGCCTGGCCAATGCATGCAGCTGCCTACCAGATTGGTGCCTTCCTGAACAGCTGCTTCCAGGGAACTTTGGTCTGCTTGGGCACTGAGAGGCCTCTTGTTAAACAGTTCATGGGGATGGTGAGTTCTGCAGGGAAGAAAACAGCCCAAGGAAAGCCGTGGTCAGTAATTACCTGTGCAGCCCTGGGACACTGCTGTACAACCACTTGTAATCTCCTTCTAGCCCTTGGTTTTTTGGCTCTACCAGCCTTGAGTGCTCATGGAAACACCTTGCTACACTGACCAGATTTTTTCCACACCCCTCCCCATCCAGCCACCTTCACCCATGCGTTTTATATCTTTTATAATGAAACAGAAGTCCCTTGGTAGGGACTGGGTTTGGATTCTGTGCAGCACCAGACACACACCCAGCTCCCAGTGAGCTCAGATCCTACATACCACACTCACCTAATAATGCTGTAGCCAGGTGTAATGGTTTGTCCATATGTGGAATTACTCCTAGGCAGTTATTTGGGAAGAGATATTGTGGATTAACTGGTTTTTAAAAGCTCTGTGTGTAGATGCTCTTAGTTTGGAGTAAGTATCTTGCCCTGCTTTAGCTTAATCCACTTTGAAGATCATGCTCTGTTTTGTGTTTTCACTGGTGCTTAAAGAGTACTGAGGAGCCAGATCAGGCTCTCAGCAATGATATAATCCAGCGTGGGACTTGAAATAGGAAATCAGCATTGCAAGAGCTCAAATCCTGGTTTTTGGGTTGGGGATCTTGGGTGAGACATAGCGTGTGTTACAGAACACATCTGAGCAAAAGGCCTTTGTGTAAAACCAGGCACACAGGAATTGCAAAAATAATGGAATCACTTTGTTCCCAGATCCTTGGGAGCACTGGCAGCCCCAGGGATCTGGACTCACCTTTCTCACTCAGGAGGTATTTGCAGGTGCAATAAACCCAGAGCAGAGTGAGCAAACCAGAGAAGTAGAAAACACTTTCCCAGCCGTACCAGTCCAGGAGGAGAGATCCTGCACCACCAATCAGCAGAGTTCTGCAAGGGAAAGCACTCAGATTTACTGGCCTGGCTGAGAGCTCAGACTGAGCACATTGATGGGCGACTGTCCCTGGGGTCAACACTGCTGTCACTGAACCACAGGACCCTAAAATTATTTGTGTTGGAAGGGACCTTAAAGCTCATCTTGTTCCACCCCCTGCCATGGGCAGGGACACATTCCACTGTCCCAGGTTGTTCCAAACCCCATCCAAACTGGTCTTGGACACTTCCAGGGATGGGGCAGCCACAGCTGCTCTGGGCACCCTGTGCCAGGGCCTCAGTACCCTCATAGGGAGAATTTCTCAGTCACTGCATGTGTGGGTGCTGCCACCAGTCCCACCTGTGCAACCTGTCCTGTTCCCTGAGTGGCATCTCAGGCCAGATCCTCAGTGGCAGGAGAAATCCCAAAGGGACCTTACCCTCACCTGCCTCTCACTGAAAAATGGTCATTGGGGAAAGAAAAGGAGGTTGGTGGTGTGCAGTATCCCAGAGAATGTTTAAAGCAGCAAAAGAAATGAGAACATTGGAAAACTAAGTGATTTCACACAGTGATATTTCTATTCAGCTTTTAAGCAACCTTCCCATTTAGAAAGGAAATTCTGATGTAGATCAGCAGAGATGGAGAAGTTCTATTCTTCCCATCTATCAGAGAGGACAGGTGACCAATGTCAGGCTCTTCCTACTGAATTGGGCTGTTTCCCATAGTAATTAAATGTTGCAAACAGTCTTCAAAGTCTGGTTTGAAAAGAAAGAGAAAACAATACATAAATCCTTGGCAGGCAGGACAGCAACTGCCTGAGGCTTCCTCAGCTGCAGCAGGAGTCCTTGAGGACCCGTGGATCCACATGTACTTTGGGCTGTGAGTTTTGCCTCCAACTATTTAATGGCATCTCATCAGATAGGATGTCCAGAGCTGTCACTGCTGCTCAGAGGCCTCTGAACTCACCCAAACTGGGATCCAGTCCCCACTGTGCTGTAGGTGAAGGCTCGCTCGCTCTCCCGGACCCTCTGGGACAGCAGGCTGGCCAGGGATGGGAAGTACACCCCTGAGAGAAATAGCAGCAAGGCAGGGAGCAGTTAGGCAAAGAAACTCCAAATTTAAAAGATCCAGAGTGAGCAAAACGCTGAGACAAAGCAGCAAAAGCTTTGGTGAATTCAAAACAGGGATATAAAATAAACTGAGTGGATCCGTCGCCATCAAAGGGTTTTTTGTGCCTTCTCCGTAATCCCTTTTCATCATCACCACTGCTACTGTAAATCCATCAGTGTCAATGCACTTCCCAGTGCTGCAGCTTGGCAAGAGGGAAGGAAAATCACTCCAAATTATCCAAAAGTTCTGGCAAGGGCCAATTTTCTTTGAGTGTTTTGAAGGAGTTTTAAAAGGTGGAAAACCAAACGTGACCAGAGATGATTTCCAAAGCCAGCAGCCCCTGTCTGGCAAAGAGATTTCTACAGGGAAATGACTTGTCAGTGACTTTCTCTAGAAATGTCACTGGTTTTCCCATGAAGTTTTGGATGTGGAGGCTGTTTTGAGGCAGAGAATTGCCCAGACACCCATGGGAAGGGTTCATGCACTGCAAACCACGGGACTTGCATCTCAATGTGCTGCACCTGAGCCTCTGTGCAAGGAGGCCCCTGGACAGACAGACACACAGACAGTCAGGACAGGGGCCTCACCTTGCAGGAGCCCCATGAGGAACCTGGAGGAGGTCATAAAAACCAGATGGGCTGAGGTGATGTGGGTGAGCAGCGGGGTGAGGACTGTGAGGAACCCCCAGGCTGATGCTGAAAGGAGGAGGACTTTCTCACCTCCTATTCTGGAAGACAGAAAACACATTATCAAAGACAGCAGGGCAAAAGGGCAAAGTCCTCCAGCGCAGACTCAAGTGCCCTTCCCAGTTTAACCTGTTTTTAGGAGCAGCCTTTTGGTCAAACCTGTTCTTCTCTTGGCCCTTGGGGAGTAGCTCTGACCTTTTCCCTTCCCAGTTCCTGCCAGCCCTGCCCATCCAACTGATCCCAGAGATCTCACAGCACTGAGCCACTCAACTCTCTGATGGTGGTGGAGGGGAAGCCCAGCTGCTGCCACCACTCTGCTTCCACCATTCTGCTTCTCTTAACCAGTGATGGTGTTTTCCATTTGCTCTTTTGCAATCCTCAGCTCTGCCTTTTACCATGCAGGTTTCTCTGGGTGTTTTCTTGCAAACTCTTAAGGACCTCAATTAAATAGCACAGTGCACTTCACAGATAATGCATCCCTTCCAGGCATGTGCTCCTCACAAAAGATTTCATAGAAAAGCTCTCTCATTAAGAATAGATTGGCTGGGGAAAGGGACTCAAGCAGGTAACGATTCAGATCCTCCCTTACAGCCAGCTGGGGAAATTGTTTGCTTTTTAATTCATATGACACAATGGAGACAGTTTTTCTAAACATGATGGAAACAGTGTATGGGGACTTGCTTGAGAAAAGACTGCAAGAGAATATAGGGCAGAAAGACTGGAAGTGCTGAACTGAAAACAAAGATCACCTGTGCAGATCAAATCAGTAAAGCTGTATTCACAGAATCCTAGAATCACTTGCAGGGATGAGACATCCACAGCTTCTATCTGGCCAGTCTAAAGTCCCCACATCCCTTCTCAGCCAGAGCTTCTCCCCATGGACACACTGGACCCTCCACCCCATCGCTGGGGTCTGGAACTGGAACTGAGGCGTCAAAACCAAGCTAAGCATCATTAAACCAAGAAAACACGAGAATAATTTCCAGTACTGATCACTGATGTGTCCTCCAACAATCTGTGTCAAGCAGTATCCCCAGAAGAAGCTGCTGAGCACGACACCAAACTGCTTCTTGTCCCAGTCGAAGTAGGAGCTGAGTGCCACGGCGCAGATGGGCACGGTGACACGGGCACAGTACAGCAGGCAGGTCCCCAGCAGCAGCATCACTGTCCACACACGGCATTCAGGCCTGCAGGGAGGGAGAGGAAGGTGGGAAAGGGCAGGGGGATGCTGGGCCCCCTGGGCCCCTGCACAGCCAGGGTTTGGGGGTCAGCTTGGCTTTGCCAGCCGAATCTGTCTGGATAAAATGAAGGTCAGCACAAGTCCCCCGGACACAGCGGTGCTGGCACAGAGTGCATCCCATCTGCTGGCTTTTAGGAATGGTGCCAGCTTCATCCCAAACACTATTTGACTCCAGCAGCAAATGTCTGTCCACAGGCTGCAAGGTGGAATGGGCTGCTTGGGCATCACTGGCTGCAGATGGAGGGAAAGGCAGGAAGGAACCTGGTTTGTTTGCTTTTTTACCCCCAAACAAAAAACTGTTCTTTAAAAGTTAAGGATAACAAAGGAGAGGTCAGGGTATGACTTGGAAGCACCTGCATGAGACACACCTCTTGGTAGCAGATATTAGTTATTTGGCATTTCTACCCATTCCCCAGGGGAGGTGATTTGTGTTACCCATCCTAAAAAGGAGGGATATGCAGGAATTTTTTAGAGAGACAAGACTTGATGGGCCTGAAGAGCTCAGAGAGATAAGCAAAATAATTAAGCCTGGACAGACAAGAAATTTTAGATTATTAAAGTCAAAATATGTTAACAGAATATATATTTCTGGGGTGTGAATTCTCAGCCTCAAGAAAAGGGCTCCTACAGGAGTAGGTGAGAAGCAAGTCAGTGATGGCTTCTGGAGCAAACAAACACATTTTGCTGCAAATGTCAGGTAAATCCCTCTGCCTTGTCTCAGCCATGCCACTTTGGGTGCCCCCCTTTGCCAGTGAATTACAGAGTTAAAAGCTGAGTAAGAACACCCACTATTGGTACTATTTGTGTTTGATTATTTCTCTGCCCAGAGGCCAGAGCACAAAGCACTGAGCTAACAGACTCTGTGCTCCAGGGGCATTCACTGTACCAGGGCAGTAACCTCTGGGCTTTCCACCCTGCTAAACACACCCACCCTCCATGTGGGAAACAACCTGGGTCACCTTTTACATCAAACAGAGAGCTGGTTTCTCTGTAGTGGAATGATGATAAATGGGGGTTAATCCCACACAGCACAAACCCATTTATAAAGGTGTAAACGGGCCCTCACAGGGGGGAGGTGAAGGAACAATGAAAAGCAGAACAGGTGAACCTGCTGGAGATGGATTTATTGCTGTTTCTGACAAGGCAGATAAGCAGCTCAGGGCTAACCTCTGGCAGGAGGAACTGGAAGTGTTTCAGGTGGTGTTTAGAGGGCTGGAACTGTTGTTACTGTGCACACGCACGAGTGCACAGAATAACACAGAAACTGGCAAACCTCACGTCTCTCTGCTGGAGGAATGAGTAACCAGGGCTTGACCTGCCTCAGTCATTCCAACCAGCTGGGAAATGCTCTCAGAGCCCCTTCCTGGGCTTACCCTGAGAGGAAGTTCTCTTCAGTCATATCTCTATTTGCTGCAAAGCCAGAGGTGGGCTGGTTTTTAATGACCAGCCCCAGCCAGTTCCAGGAACAGTGGCTCCACTGACCCCAGCCTGCCACAGAAAAGCACAGGGAAATCAAAGGCTGCAGGACACTGCATGTGTGGGTCAGAGAAACCCCAGCAGGACAATACAACAGGAGATTTGGGGTATAAATCCCCCACCAAAGGCAGAGGGCAGGTGGGGATAACCAGCCATGGAAAACCTTTCAGAGATGGGATGCTTCCAGGCACAACTCCTGCCTGCCCTGCTGCCAGTCCAGGGCCATAATCTCTGTTATCTCCAGGAGCACAGCACTGATAAATTTGAGCTACTGAACCTGCAACAATCGAGGTGATGGAGTAAAGCACAGCAGCCAGTGATGTGTGGAGGTATTTTCTATTATTTAGCCACTAAGATAGTTTGTGAATTGCACTTTTCCCTTGCAGCAAAGGGAAACCTTTATGAGCTTTCACTGGAGTGGGGCTGAGCTCTGTCTCTGCAGTCATTCTGGGGTGTTCAGAATAACCTGCAGTTATCCTGATAAGCACAGCAGCATTTTATTACCAGATCAACAGTTCTTCCTTTATCCTAAACCCTGTATAACTCTGCAAGGTGTAAGAGGGAGAGAATAAGACCTGAGCATCTCCAGGATTCTTTACTCCATTTCTCTCAAGAAGCCTCTCCAACTGATGTTCCGACAAAACTCCAGGGATATATTTTTCTCTTGACTTTTATTTTTATTCCAAAGGACTAAATAAATCTCTGGGTGTATGACACACTCTCAATGTTCTCTTTGACTACTACTCCACTCTATATTCTCTTCCTTTATGTTTAATTACATCAGTAGGGATCATGCTCACAACAAGTGGAGAATATAATGATGGCTTCAGACTACCTCTTCCTCTGTAGGCAGCACATCCAGCTAGGAAAATCCATGCAAAGACTATGAGTGTCAAATGTAATCAGTAGCTGCTCACACCCACCTGGAAGCATGGCAGGAATGATTTCCCTGCAAGGACAATGACGTGCTTGCATCACAGGAAAGAGCTTTGTAAATGCATTTTCTCCTAATTATAGTTATCACAGAGGCTGCAGATGACTCAACGTTCTGCTCAGTGCAAAACAACAACAGCAGAGGTTACACAGGAGGAACCTGGACTAGCACAAAGACAGGAATTAAACCCCTCCTTTCAATGCTAAGGAATAGTGACAAATCAAACAGAAGTTTTTGTGGGTGACATCAGCCATCTGAGAAGTGAAACCTCACCAGGGGTAACAGATTAAATCTAACCCATCCCCTGGCGAGGGAGGGAGACAGAATGTGCTGCAGATAACCAGCCTAAGTCAGAGCACAGGAAATCACAGCCACTGCTGTCACTGGTGCCACCAGCCTGATTCACCCTCCAGACCAAGCATCCCCCACCAAGATCCCTGGGCCAGTCCTGGCTATATGTGGCAGGCACTTCTGTGGGAGGGGCCAGCCCTCCACACCACTGACAGGGAATCTCTGGAGTTTTTCTGGAGCCACCAAACTGATGTAATCTGGTGCTGAGTGATGGCAGTGGCTCCTCAGTGCCCAGCCTGGCGTGCAGTCCCCTCCTCCCCACAAGAGACAGGCACTGCAGGTGCATCCCCTCCTGCACATCACCGAGACTCTCTTCACTGAGCAAAGCAGCCATGCAGCCAGAAACACTTCCTATTTCACAAACCTCCAACCACCACTCAGACTATAATTAGCCCAAGCCCTTATGACACTTCCTGGGTGGCTTTTTGAGCAGCCCTGTCTGATGTCCCTTGGTTCTCCTCCTCCAAATGCAGCCTTGGACACTGGGTGGAAATGGCTTTGCTTCCAAGCATCCCCTGATTTCCCTGAGACACAGCTCCCACCAACCAAATGGATCCCCCAGTCAGGGCACAGTGGTTAGGATGGATTTTTCAAGGATGCCTGAGATCCCCAAAGGGGCAAAAGCAAGCTGAGCTGTCTGGCAGTGCAAGCAGGGCCAGCAGCACAGGGTATCTTTATTTGCAGTGTGTTTTCCTGCTGGAGGAATTTCTCCAGTAGATGCCACAGAGCAAATATTTATCCAACTTTTATTTCTCTTGACTCGCCTCCCTCCTTTGCCCCGGTCTGCAGGGCTCTGGCAGACACTCAGGTCACTGTTGGGATGGACTCTCTGGGGTTCAGGCTGTCAATTCCATCCCAGTTTAGCCCCTCCGAGGCACGAGTCAGGACCTCCAGGTATTTTCAGGTGCTAAGAGAGCTGTGTTAGACAGCATGACTATGAACAGCCTGTCCCAGCAACAGCTCTTGGCCAGAAGCCATCTGCAATATCTGTGGGTGTTTTCCTTAACTAGAAGAAGAACTGGGAACTGCAGCTCCTGATCTGCATAGGATGGGCACAGGGACCATCAGCAGAGCACAACACCCACCTCCCAGGGAGGGCATCTCTACCTCAGTTCCCCTCTCTAGAGAAAGATCAGAAACAGCTCCTGGGAGATGCACAGAGAGCACATCAGTGCCGTCACCCCCTGTGCCCCCAGCCCTCCCACTGTCCCAGCCACAGCAGGGGACACTCCCCAGGCCCTGGCAGAAGCCCAGGGCAGAATGGGGGTGAGCCCACACGCTGGTGCTGAGCTCCCAGCCCCGCCACCAGCTCCAAACACAGCACACCCAGCAGCCCAGGCTGCAGCCACCCACACCCAGGGGAATGTCCCCAGCACTGGCAGCTGGTGCCTGTGGTCCCCCTGTCAACCATGGTGTGTCCACACTTCCCTCATCACCCATTCCCAGGCCCACAGGACCATCCTCCTTCAAAAACACTCTTCTCCAGCTTCCCTGCCTATAGCTTTAATTTACAATCATCTCCACCACGAGCAGGACTGACTGACGTGGCACCAACACAGCAGCCACGCAGACACCCCTGTGCCAGGAGATAATGCCCAGGTTGTTATTTTTAACCCTGTTTGACAGTCCCTTCACTTCTCATTCTTTGTCTTTCTCAACAATCTCTCCTTCAAAATCTAACATGCTTGTCAAGAGAGAGGCTTGGAGTAATTTCCCCCCCCACTCCTCAAGCAGATTTTGTCATGCTCTAGACCAGCTCCAAGCTAATGATTTGTCACTGTCAAAACTAGCTTTGGGGTTTAGGGGAGACTTGTTGGATTTTTTTTTTTTTTCCCAATCCAGCTAGCAGCCAACAAGAGCAGCACAGAGGACACAGGGCTTTTTTTCCTGGGAAAGCTGCTGGCTTCCTGTCTGCCTCCTGTGCTCAAGCTCCCTCCACAGAGCTGCAGATGGCAACAAAGTGGTGTTCAGCGAACGAGCTCTGGGTTTATTCCCTCTCTTCATTTCTTGCTTTCGGCAAAAGCAAAGATGAAATTAAATTTCAGCAGCTCATATGAGCTGGAAGTAGTTGTTGAGTCCAGGTGGAGGTGGTGAGAAAACATTATAATAAAGCAGAGGCGTGCTTTGCACACTGATCTGAGGGCATACATGGATCAGCCAGGAATGAAATGTGTGCCCTGCTTATGTTTTCCATGTGAAAAAAGTTCTCAGCAAGGTCACTATTAAACCCGGGGTGAAGAACTTGTAAAACAAAAATCCCAACCACTAAAAATACCCCAAATAACCAACTAAAGCTGCAACGTTATGTTGACAAAAGATGAGGGGCACAGAACTCAGAAAAAACAACTGAGTGTTGTTTCTGGGCAAAGATCAGGTGACCGGAGATCAGCCTGTGGCCAGGGGTAAGACTCCTTTTATCTCTGGAGCTTAAAGAAACTTTTATAATCACCCCTTGTCGTCAGGTGTAGCCGGAGGCTGGGAGATGCAGAGTGGCTTCTGGAGTCATTTGCTTTCCCAGGGCACAGTGAGTTTTTCACGCTGCTTTTCTCTCCTGGAGGCACCATCCAAATTGTGAGCCCCACATCCAGTGCTGGATCTGCTGGTGGCCTTGTGTGCAGCCTTCAGCAACTGATTTCTCTTTTCACTGCTTTGGTCTTCCCTCAGTCAAACCAGAAATGCTTAAACACATCCTCTGCCCAGGGGGTTCTGCTTTGGCATGTCAGGATCATCATTAAGAAATGCTCTCTAACTGTCCAGATGTGCCTCATAAACATGAGGGCTTTTTCAAGCCCCAAACAGAAATCGCCAAATGCTGTTCTTGGAAGAGATGTGTGATAATGGAGCCCTTGGAAACCTGCAGAAAAGTTTGGGAAAGGCAGGCAGGAGAAAACACAAGGCAAGAAGAGTGGAAGAGGAAGGAGAAGCCAGTTGGAAAAAGGGAGGACAAAAGAAGAAGGAGCATGAACAAAGATGGAAAAATAAACCTGCCAAGATAACTTTTTATCTCTCCTTGCACTGACAGATCTTGGAAGGCTGCCTGGCATGTCTTTTGTTGGAGCATGAAAAGAGAACCCATGTCACTTCCCCCACTTGATAAGACCTTGCCCCCATGGCAGTAACTCCCTACTTGGAATATATGAAAGTTATTTATTTGCATATACTGTTCACAAATTGTCCACCAAATTCACTTCACCCAATGAGGTACTTGACACAACTTGATAAACCTGCTCCAATGATCTGGTGGCTCATTCCCCCTTTTTGCTCCTCCTTACTCAACCTCCGCCTGCCCAGTTTACTTTTAGGCCATAAAACCTCCATAAAACCTCCCCAAAGAAGGGTTGTGACCACTTCTGTGTCTACATTAAACAATGGGGACACGATCTCAGCTGCTGTGAACTACAGCAATATAGATAATGATCTGAGGTGCCTTAGGGTTATCCTGCTGCTCCTTCCCATTAACAGGATTCTCTCAATTATTAGCAGCACTTAGCATGGTCAGAATCACTTAAAATGTCTGTCTCGATCAACAGGCTGTTTTCATCACTTTTGTTTTGGAAAGTGTTATCTATGTTTTGCATTTTTCCGAAGAGATTTGAGAAACAGGAGAGCTTGTTCTGGTCAAATGTTTTCTTGGGTTTTTTTTTCCTAGAGGAGAAGCCTATAAACTAAAGTTTTTCCTCATGAAAATCCGGTGTGAGGTCCCACCACTCCCACTTCTCAAAGATTTAGGGAAAAGTTAGCAAGGGGGAGACAGAGAAGGAATTTTCCTAAGTGCTTTAGGGGAAAAAAACCTTCAAATGTTAAGCGCCTCTGTGCCAAAGGTCTTCTTTAAGACCCACCCCGTTACTCAGAGTGAGCGTGGATTTGATGAGACATCCCAATCTGTGAGTGCAGGATTCCCCCTCGGGACAGCAGTTCAGAGCCTGCTGCCCCTGCAGAGAGCCACGGACGAGAAACACCAACTCATCCAGGGGCAATCCCTGCCCTGGCCCCGTGTCCCTGTGCTTTGGCACGGGTGCCACCTGTCCGTCCCGCGGCTGTCACCGCAGTGTGACCCCAAGGCGAGGGGAAGGGGGGAGCCCCAGGGCTGGGCAGCCACACATCAGCAGCTGAAACCGAGCCAGATTTCTCAAGCACAGGGAGTCCAGGGGCTCCCAGCTTGGAAAAGCCTCAGACCATGAATTCCATCTGCCCCACTGGTACTTTGGAATCAGCATCTCACTCCGCCTCAGATGGGAAAAGGGGCTGATCCTGAGGTCTTGGTGCTGGATGAATTTGCCAGGGAGGCAGAGGGGAGCAGCACCGGACACTGGATCACCCTGCCTCTGCCTGTGCCCCTGCTGTTAGAGGTGCTCACTGGGGGTTTAACTGCATTTTAACTATTTTAATGACTTTGCATCAAGAGCAGTTCATGCTGTCTAGCTTGCTGCCCAGCTCCTATTCCAGACTTTATCTCAATGAATGACTATCGCCAGTACAAACATCCCCACTGGAACACTTCGATAAGAACCTCATAGCGGTTTTGTGTTTAATTCACTGATTACAGGCCAGAAATAAACTCAATAGTTGGTTTGTTTGTTTTTTTTTTTTCCCCTTGTTTTTCACAGTAATTCCCTATCTTCCCCCTTCCTTCTACCCTGCCTGCGGCAGTCCGGAGGAGCGAGACAGCGGGAGCCGCCCGGGGCGGCGGGACCGTATCCCTCCCGGAGGGCAGCAGCGCGACAGGGACAGGAGGCTCCCGGTCCGACCGGGAGCACCAAGCTCCTCCGGAATCGCCTCTCCGGGAGCGCTGCGGGCCGCCCGACCGCCTCCATCCCGGAGCCGCATCCTTCCCGGGAGCTGCGGGGACCGAGGATGCGGGGAGGGCACCGGGGAGTCCCGGAGAGCGCCGCCAGCAGCGGAGCGGCTTCCCCGGGAGCGGGAGAGGCTCCAGCCTTACCTGGACCAGTAGGGCTCGGTGCCGCCGTCCCGCCTCATGCCGTCGCGGGGGCCGCTGCCCGGGGGCGCATTCCTGCCGCCGCCCCCCGCGGCCATGCGGGCAGCGCCTTCCGCCTCCCCGGCTCACATCGCGGCCCCGCCGCCGCTCCCTCCCCCGCCGGGCCGCGGCCACGTGTCAGCGCCTCCCGCCGCCCCCGCCCGCCGCGCCGGGAAGTCCCGCCCGACCCGGTGCCGGTGCCGCTCTGCCAGCCCCGGCAGCCGCGGAACCGGAGGGCTCCGGAGGGGCAGGTGCCGGCCCCGACGAACCGCGGGGCTCCGCTCGTTCTCTCTGCTCCGGTCATTGCTGACACCCCCAGCGGGCACAGCCAGGGCACGGAAAGAGGGGACGGAGCGGGGTCTGTCCTTCTGCTCCCGTACCTGGGCAGGGAATCGCTCCCTGCTCCCGCTGCTCTCATGGGTTTGCCGGCAGAAAAGTCTCTGCTGCTTCTGCTTTTTAAGGATTAGAAGCGAATATAACATTCGCTTCCGAAGATAAACTAAATAGGAATGAGTGGTGTTACAGCTTGATTTATATCTGTTGGATAGAGGCGCTGCCTTGCTGTATCTGAAAGAGATAATCAAACTCCTTTGTGGAAATAAATAATTGAAATGATGCTTATCTCAGTCCGCAACAAAGGGACTCGTGACTCACTTAAAGATCATGAACGAGCAGGCTGGAGGAGCCTTGTTGAGGCATCGTTCAGGTGATGCTGTGGCCGACTGCAGCCTGGAAGCTGGAACGGCAAAACTTGGGGTGAGCAAAGGATGGAGGAGCTCCCGCACAGCCTGAGCAAGGTCGTGCATGGCCCCTGGGAAAGGTACCAGGGCTGCTGGGCTGCACCAAAACGCGCAGGTGCAGGGCAGACACCTCCTGTCAGCTATTCCTGCAGCCAGAAACCTCTCAGTCCTTGGTGGAATGAAGCCTTTAGTGGACTAATATTTGGGTAATTCAAATATCCTTCTCCCAGCATGAATCCCTTGGCAGGCCCCTGATGAACAGTTTGCTACATAAATCAGGAGGCAAAACGCTATTATTGAGCTGAACCTTTGAGAGTGAAGTAGCAAAAAGGTGAAATACAGACCAAAGACAGCTCCACAGAGGAGGTTGCTGAAAAAGTAAAAATCATCAAGTCATACTTCATCCTTTGCTTTTATTTCTTCCTCAGAAGAGATCTTCCCCAAAAGGCCTGTGGCAAAGTCAGGCACAGTCACACAGACCTGCTGCACACAGAGAACACAAATACAACGAGCTTTGCTGCAAGTAGAGACTGAGGGGAACCACGTGTAGTAACCACTTTAGCTTTCATTTAGTTGTAGGCTTTCCTCCCTTTATTTGGGCAGGAAATGAAACTATGAAGTATTTTTATTCACTCTGCTACTGCCCCCTTTTCCAGAAGAGGGAGCCAAGTCCTGGCAAATTGCAGCCAAAAACGTAAACCACTGACAATGTATTTTGGGTTTCTTAAATTGTATATATGTTTGGAGTTTAGTTAACTCGAGGCAGGAGGGGAGATGGGCTCTTATGTAACTACAGAAGTGAAATCCATGCAATAAGCTCAGGAAAGAACTGAAGAACCTTGGGCATGGTAGAGTAACCACAGATGCAGAAAACTTATGAACTCATGGCCAGGTATGAGGGATCCTGTGCTCAGTCTCACCGCTGAGGGGTGCAAACATTTCCAACAATGAATCATACTTTCAGTGAGTTAGTAGTTGAGTTGGAAATCAAGCACAAATTTTCATCATTTTTGTACTCTTTTGTTCCTTTCCTTGTCATGCTCAGAGCCACCTCTTCAATTAGGAGCTTGACTAATCTGCCTCTCAGATAAGAAGCTACTTTCACTGTCCAAACCAGCTGCACTTGAAAGTGTTTGAGTGCAACATCCATCACATTCACATAAATAGATTTAAAGAGTAAATACACAGACATCATTCTTTTTACTGCTATATGATTTTCTATAGGCAAACCTCCCACCAAGCTGATTAAATGACAAATGGAATCAGCTCGGAGGACAGGTGCTGACTAAAGAAAATAATCTTACACAAGAACACAACCTCCTCTCATTTTTCCTGTGTTCAGCTTAATCTGTCAAAAGGTTAAACCAAACAAAAGATTATTGGGTTAATGTTTGACCTGACATTTACTATCCCTGTAGTTCACCCATACAATGGTTGAATTATTTGAAGATTTTATGAAGTTAAGCACAGATTAGGATCAATTCCTGAAAGGGTAAGAATGGAGCAAAAGGCTCATACATTCCATGAAGGACAATTGTTGTCTCCTGAAAGGACAGTGACTGCAGCTTGAGAGTTCCCTAACCCAGCAGTTTCAATGCAACTTCTCCATACAATAGAGAAAACACACGTGGGCTTCTACTGCTACATAATCCAATTTAGCAAACTTACTAAGCAGCAATACACTGAAAAAAAGCAAATTATCAGAGAAGTTGGCAAATTGAGCCTGCTTGTAAATGAACAGCAACTTCTGTGCAGCAGCTCATCCAAATGAGATAAGGTAGCAGGATAGTGTTGGAATCATGTTGTAATCCTCATGAAGAGCATGACAGAACACAAAGGGCTTTCTGGTCTGAGGTGCCTGAAAGCATCAATACACAGCCCACCAGTGGTTTGACCAACTTTGTGCTTAACTTAACCAGGTGAAGGCAGAAGGGGAGCAGAAAGGAATAAAAATAGTTTGTAGCACCTCGAGGTGCCCATGGAGAAGTACAAATCCTTCTGAGGGTGCTGTTCATGAGCTCTGTGCTCTGTCTGTGCTCAGCTGAGCACACCCAGCAGCGAGCAGGGCTGGGGACACCATCTCACACAAAAGCTACAAACCCTCCTCATCCCTTTTGGTTAAGGACAGCAGAGCAGAAACAATTCCTGACACGGTGTCGCTTCTGGAGGGAAGAGAGAGCTACAGTGCAGGTCAGAACCTGCAGCCTCAGGGCAGATTTAGGGCAAGCAGGACTCCAGATCCTGTTCTATTCTGGCTCTCAAGGATGCTGGCAGCCGTGGCTGACAGCAGCAGCCCCATTTCCCGTGAAGACACAACACACAGGGATCCAACTCCATTTAATGAGCTTTGCAACCCACTTGGACACAAGGTGGTTTTAAAATAAGTCGAACAACACTCAGCTAGTCAAGGATTTTTTAAAGTAATGCCTTTAAGCTTATACTCAAGCATACAAAGCATAAATTTTACAAATTAAAAACAATAAAATCACCCTGGAATAATGTAGTGGCTTTTCCTGTATTTACAAGGAGTGGAAAGGAAGCAGAATTCTTTTTAATTTTTCTTTTAATGTGGGTAGAAGAAGCTGAAAGTGTTTCAATGAAATCATCTTAAAGAGAGAGAGAGGTACTTCATCTGGCTTAAAGGTGTATGTTTGCCTCTTCAAAAGTCTTGAGAGGAAATTCTTTACTCAAAATTCTGCTGTTAAGTTTCTGTGCAGCAGCCTCTGCTTTTCCAACCATATGAAATTAAACAGTTCAGTAAGTGTTTCTTAAACTACCACCACAACTTCATCTTCAGGAAAGTCTGTGAACCCCCACCCTTCCAAAAATCCCTCCTTTGTACAACAGAAGCAGCCACAGCTCAGCTTAGGTTTGACAGGCAGAAACAAAACATGGGAACAGCAAAGACAGTTACAGGGAGGTGATGGCTTTGGGAAAAGGAGGGAGATTTGTAGCCTAATCAAACACACTTGCTCTGCAGCCTTTCTGCAGAGGTGTAAGACAGGATATTTTACAATCCAGCTTCTCCACATCCATAGCATGAATGAAAATATCTTATTTGCTTTCACCAAGGCAAGGCTGGGGGAGGAAAAGTGCACCACCTCTAAGGACCATATCTGTCTGCCAACATTGGGTTTGGAACAAATCTTCTTACAAAAGTTATTTTCATATTGTCCTAAATTCAGTGGAACAAAATACGTATTTTTACACTAAAGCAAACTGATCAAAGTGGCATTTAATAGTATTTGTTAAAGTGGTTATCTAACAAAAATGGGTTAACAAAAGCCCATTCATTAGTAGTCACCAAATAAGACACTTCTCATGCATATGACAAAAATTCATTTGTGTACTGAGACATCTGTTTACTGTGTACAATATTTCCATAAATTATAATATGTTTCACAGCCCCTACCATTCAAGAATATTTCAAACAGATTATATATTATATTTGTATATGCAAACTATTTTATATACACTAATATAAAGATCCTTAGAAGTACCAATATCACTACCTTTATGCTTTCTCTAAAATGCATAGCTTTCGAGTATCTTCTTGCAGTTACCAAAAACTTTACAGATTAAAGCTGCTTATCAATGTGGCATGTTCATAAAAACAAAGTGAAATAGTTCTAGACTAATTTTATATTAACCCCCTTAAAAACGTGTTTATTTTTTTTAATGGAAAAAAACAACAAGCTAGTGGAAATTCAAGTAATCTATGCTCAATCATTGCCCAAATACTCTATGGAATTAAGGTAGCGTTCTAGGAGGACAGTGAACTTCTCACCCAGGGCTGTAATACTGCATTTCTCATGGAGAAAAATGCTCATCATGCCACAAAACCGCACCACTTTCCACTTCACCCGGGAGAAGCTGTACAGAAGATTCAACAACACAAGTGTCAGAACAGAGAGGAAAAGCTGATCAGTTCTACATGAAGAAATTAGAGCTATTCCAGTTTTGTTTCTGCAGTTTGTTATTAAACAAAGTTACATTAACCATACAGTTTCTCACAAACTAAAAGTTATACATGGTTTTCAGACATCAACCGATTAAAAAAAAAAAAAAAAATTAAAAAAACCCCAAAACAACCAAACCCACAACTGTTAAAAGTTTGGTGTTAGAATAACCAACCTGGGTGAAGGAAAGCCAAACTGCTGCTGTAGCTGGGGGGCTACTGATAGCTTGTTTGTTATATATAAACTTGAAGACCGCCCTACCACAAATGCCTCAAAGTGGAGAACAGAACAATCAGGAAGAAATGGGAACAAATTATTTTGTTACATCCATCATCTCGCTTAACCTTGGTGCTCTGCATC